TGATTCAGTTCATCTGGACGTAGCGTTTCCAATGGGAGAGACGTTTCGTCACTCATCCAAGTGACTTCTTCAGTCTTCTGACTGCAGGTTTCGCCATTCTTATAAACAATGACTGAAACCAGCACTACTGAATAAACAATGGGCTGTGAGGTCAGTTCCTTGATCATTAATGATGTAAGAACATCACATCAAGAAGGCCCTGAGTAAACGTGGTTATCCTTGCTGGACATTTGTTAAACCTGGGAAGGCACCTAATGAAAGCTCCAACTGATCCAGGAAAGAAGGACAACCACTGCGTCCTGTGTCAGGAGTATTGGAACAGTTGAGATGCATTTTTCCTAAACACTGCGTCTCTGTGGCTTTTAAGCTAAGGACCACTTCACATGCAAGTTATAAACAGAACTGTTAACAAAGGGCAGCCCTGGCAGAGTCCAACTCCCACCAGTAATGAGTCTGACTTAGCAAGTCGAGCCATTTGTCAGGGTGGGATCACCACTGGTAGCTTAATGTTAGCAGTTAATGTTAATGTTAGCGTGTTGCCTTTTCAGGCCCTCGGAGGCATTTATTGTGTTTGCAACAGTGGATCCTTGTCTTTTTGTACATTATTTATGAGTTCATATGTATATTCACCACATAAAACAATGTAATTACACTTTATTGTATCCAGTACTTTTATTTTAGGGTGCGCACTAAATTGGATACGATACAGAGAAGTTTAGCATTGCCCTTGTGCAAGGATGACACGCAAATTCGTGAAGCGTTCCACATTTTTGTGGGTGGCTGTAGCGCAGGAGGTAGAGCCGATCATCTACTGATTGGAAGGCTGGTGGATCAATCCCTGGCCCTGCAAATATCCTTGTGCAAGATACTAACGCCAAGTTGCTCTCTGATGCATCAGTCAGAGGGTGGGTGAATGTGGCATGGAGTTTAGAGCGCTTTGACTGAGCAGTCCATTTATCATGCATCATGAAATCAATAGATGTAATGAACATTTATTTTGGAAGCATTTTATTATTATAATTATTATGATTTTTTTTATGTCCCTATGTGTTAGCCCTGCGACAGACTGGCGACCTGTCCAGGGTGTACCCCGCCTCT